TTTTTTGCAATAGCACAAGAAACTGTTCCATTTTATTGCAATAAGTTCCGTTTTCTTTTGCTTCATTTCAAACCAAGTTGTCACTGGGTATAAAATTACTAGTAAACTTTAATTCGCGCGTTTACTGGAATCTTAAGCTTGACTCGCATTTGTTTTGGTCTGTAACGAAGCTTGCCTGTCCAGTATAAATACATTTTCAACGTAACTTTAGTTTGTTCCTAGCTTCCAATTCTGAATCTGCTTATCCTAGCATTCCCTATGTAAGCCTACATATTTCAACAATTTATATATGAAAGAACATTTAAAATTCTAAATAAAAACCATCTTTACATGTGGAATGTCAACTCTACTGAAATGGGAAACATTTGAGACTTCATAGCAAAATAATTTTAAATTCTATGTAAATTGTTCAATCACCTGAGAACCTACACGCACGGTTCTTTACACTGACGCATCTAGGATAATATGGCACGTAAATTACGTATCAGTTTTCATGCAGTGTAAACCAGATTGGAGAACCAATTAGCGGGCGAGTGATGTAATCATGTTTTATAAATGTAAATACTCCCTAACTTCTTTTTATTAACACTAGTCACCTGTGTGTCAAACAGCAAAATACACGTTCTTTACTACGTGTTGATCGATAGGAGGACCGATCTGAAGCTTGCTAATCATGGAGAACACTGTCTTCAATCATTTTATCATTGGTAATCAGAACTACTATTGACTAAGAGCAAGAAAACACGACTCGTGTTCATGGTATGTATGGCTTTCAAAAATTTTTCAATTCTGCATTTTGTCTTCCTGTTTCCATGCACTGTCGCCATCATCAATTTTGGTTAAACAAGCGCCGATTGTTATTACAAAAGCACCCGTGAAGTGTTTTAGCATGAAAGAATGATTTTGGAAACTTTTTCAGTACCGTGACTAACAGTTTCTTTGTGAAGTTCCCAAAACAAATTCGGCCAGATTGAGGCCGAACTGTCCGCCTTGAGCAGGGCTTTTTTTCCCTCAAGTCATTTTATGTTCTCACGTACTAGTGAGAAAATTATAGGGAACACTTTTCATTGTAAAAGCCTTGTAATT